TAAAGAATATGAACAGAATCGGGCAAAGAGTTCACATAAATGGAACTACACACATGGCTCTTAATCATTGGAAAAAATGTTCAACCTCATTCACAATAAGATAAATGCAAAACAAAACTCAGAGATGCGAAAATGACAAAAATCAGAATGTTTGGTAACAAACGTGTTTGGCTAAGGGAAAACATGCACTCTTGTACATTGCCTGTGGGAGTGCAAACGGAACCAACCTCTGTAAGACCAATTTGGCCAAGCTATCAAAATTAATAGTAGAGATACCCCTTGACTCAGTAATGCCAATTCTAGAAACTCACTTCATAGGTATATTTGCATATGAGTGAAATGACACAGATACGGGATAATTATTGCAGCATTGTTCAAATAGCAGAAGATGGGAAACAAATGTTCTTCAGTAAGGCACTTATTAAATAATGAACTACCCAGACATACTAAGTGAAAAAAGCAAAATGCAACGTGTATAGTATGCTACCAGGTGTGTAAAAAAAAAAAAAATGAGTATATATACTTGTATATGCTTGTGTATGCACCGATAGTCAATGCGTATAATCAATACAAGAAATAAGAAGTTACATCTGGGAGAAGAACAGAGTGGCTGGGGAATAGGGGTAAGAAGGGCAATTGTTTTTCACTGTATTCCAATTTATAACTTTTGAGTTTTGTACTATTCAAGAAATTTTAATTAATGCAAGGCCAAAAAATGCACATTCTTCAGCCTTACATGGGACCTGCAGAATCAGATTCTTTGGGGAAGGAGTCAGGGGCTGTGCAATTTTAACAAACACTATGCATGATTCTCATGCAAATAGAAGTCTGAGAACCCTGACAGAGAGCATCATTAGTAATGTACACTTATCAAAGTAATAATAGCAACAATGATGTAAGCACTAATGAACACTTATTTAAAAAGATAAAGCCTAAGACACCACTGCCAACATCTTGCACAAGTTTTTCTGAAAAAAATTCCTTGGCACAACCAAGCATAGAAAGATTTGACACCACAATGATGCATTCCTTGTTCTCTCGTGTTCAGTTTTAACCACTACTAATAATTTTACCAGCTTTTTACACTTTGCAAAATGCTTTAGCCTCATCTTTTGTGCCAGGTAAGGGTATAACAAGCCTTACTTGGAGTTCCATGTAAAGACGACAAGTAAATTGCTCACACTCCGCACAATACCTGCAAACTCCTGCCCTTCCTTTCCGGCTAACAGCTACATCCTACCTTCCCTGTTCTAAAGAAACTTGTCATTGGAAGAAACACATACATTTAACTAGGTGTCTTTAATAAGGCATACCTGTATTGCAAATCACAATTACCTATTTCCGAGATGCTGGGGGAGAGAGGAAGGACCTAGCCTCAAGTCTCAGGCAATTCTGGCTTCCCTTCTGCATTCTCCAATTTCTTCCCCTTTAAATCAAGATGAAAAGACAATATGATGGAGAGATTAAGAACACGTGCTTTGGAGCAGGACTGCTCGGGCTCAAATCCTAGCTGTGCCACTATGTAACCTTGGGCAAGTTACTTTTCTGTGCCTCTGCAGACACATCTGTAAAATGGGGATAGCACCACTTCATTCATGATATAAATCGACATATGTGCAACACTTTGCATAGAAACTGGTATGTAGTCAGTGCTAGATAAATATTTGCTATTTCAGGCCAGTCTTGGAGTGTTAAAGGAAGAGAATTCACAAAAACAGAGGTAAAACCTGGGGAAGGGGTAGAGAGACAGGGAGGAAAACTCGATGGCTGAAGAGAAGACACAGAAGGCAAACAATGAAAAGTTGATTGTTTCCAAGAAATAAAAAACCAACTACAAGATATCGAAGCAATGGGCCAAGCAAAGCAAAGCTGTTTTTTCCTTGTTCTGTGGACGGCTCAGCTGCCAGACGTTTCCATTTTCCGGTCTGGGTCCGTATCGCTGTATAAGTTTTGTACCAGGGGCCCCAGACCAAGCAGGTTTGGCATGAGGGGGTGGGGCAGCACCTCTTACAAAGCCCCTGTGTTCATGAATATGACCAGGATTCTCACCCTCTGTGGCCTAAAGCAGCAGGATGAGCTGGTAAGGGTACCAGAGGAGAGCTAGAAGGGGAGTGCAACTCCACCAGCTTCCCACAGACACACCATCGCCTCTGCATTGAATCTGCACCTTGGCCCGTGGGCAGCAAATGCAGATGGGAGGGACCTCTGAGCAGCCACACTGCCTGATTTCTGCATTTTATGGCTGCTTCGGAGACGGAGGTCCAGAGAGAGGAAATGCCTTGCCCCAAAGTGAAGGGATATCGAGATGATTATCTTACCACAGGGAACCACCGATGACTGAAATATAAGCCCTTCCACCAATTAAAACATTATTTCATCTCTGCTATATTTAAGCCATCTTTTAAATGCCCATTCTTTAAAAACAAGCAAAAAAAAAAAAAGCTTCCAAGCAAAGCATCTCTTTAACTAGAACAGTGTGAGCAGTCACCTCCCTGGGCGGGCTCCTGAGTGGGGAAGCACAGCACAGACCAGCTGACCCACCAGTTCTCGGGTGCAGATTGGGAGATGCCTCAGTACTTGGTGGGAGCGTGGTCGCTTGCTCAAACGTCTAACTCAGGGGTTCAACGTGTACCTGCCACATCCTAACTTTCCTTTAGAAGCTGTGCGTTAAGTATCAACCATAATTTACTTTATCCAGAGCCCCCGTGAACTTACTTAGGCTTTCAGCCTCCTAGTATTTGACATTTGAACCAGTCACAGACACCATAGGACTCTTTTCCTCTGCAGGTCCTACAGCTGGCTACCACCTTGTCCCGCACCCCCGAGCCCCCACCCACCTCCAGCCACCACAACCGAGGGGTCTGCTTTCATTGCAGCTGAAGGTTCAGCCACACAAAATCCATCTCGAATGCCTCAAGTAGCCAGAGCTATAGGTACCGAGTTTTTACCACAGACCCTGTTTTGAAAGATTTGGTCTACCAAATGTACTGATGTTTCTCATTTAAAATAATCAAATTCATACCTGACTGCCCCTTAGTGTTTCCAGACAACAGGTGCCAAGCTGACTTGGTATTTCAACCCAGAAACAAAACGCATTTTAATTAGCAAGAGCTGCCTTACCCTGAATGAATGTTGGATCCTGCTCCCCGACCTGGCCTTGCCTACACAATTATTTCCTTCTCAGAGTCATAGGATCTGAAGACCCCGTGGAAAATGCCAGTACATAGAATTGAAAGCACCAAGCTACCACACTGCCCCGAATTAAAAGCAGCCTGAAATCTGGCATAGCCACCAAAGACTTGCTGTATTGCCCTCCCAGCAGCTAATCTATGATCTGAAATTATTCCAAGGACTGAGGAAAACATTTCCCATGAGCAAGAAGTTAATTTACTTGCAGGGGGGAAATGAACGGCTCCCTTTGCTTTCCTGACCCTCCCATAGGCACCAGGAAACACCACAAAGTGACCCCGAAGAGAGACCCCAGACAGAGCCTTCAATTATGTAAGGTGGCCTAAAATCAGCCATGGGTGACAGAAATTCTGCAACCCATGGTGATGGGTCTGAGGACTCTTGAAGCTGAGATGCACCATCTATTTAAATGCACTCCCTCTTTTGAGATATGACTTGTTTTTTGTAGGTCACACTTTGGGGGGCAGTGCTGAGATCATGTATTTGGAACAAATTATCAAACTTCTTTATACAATCACAGGTGAGAAAGTTAGCATTGAAAGGCCTAGTTTAGGAGAGCTCATGGTGTTAGGACAGGCTAGATACAAGAAGCCCCGTTCCCCTCATTCTTGCCCCTTGTACTTTATTTTATGAAAGCTTGAATTCTTTCCCTTTTGTGTTCTTAAAAAAAAAAAGCTTTAGCAATTCAGTGGTGTCTTGGGTTTGGAAGGAGCAATATCCGAGACCATCCCCAGAAAAGATTATTCGGAAGCCCCAATAAGAAAAATTCATTTTCCCACCAAATTGTATTAACTCTAACAAACTCCCAACCCACCAGAAAGCACTCAAAGTAATGAGAACTGGAAGAGGAAGGAGGGAAAAAAATTGGGGTAACAATTTTCTTCTGCTGTCAGACTAACCCTTTTCTTTTAAAATAGTCAGCCAAATTCAGACTGGTGTCTCTCGTGTGCTCCCTCCCTCCAACTCAGCCACCCCCTGGGCTGGGAGAATCCCTCATTTCACTCACCCCAGCCTTGTTCACAAAGTGCAAGTGAGTCAAGGGACACCAGACCCTCACAAACCATAAACTAACTTCTGAATACCCCACAGGGAGTAAGGCATTCAGAACACCCATGTGATAAGAGCTCCTGCCACCTTACCTCAAAGTCAACACACTTGCCCAAGGTCACAGAGCTCGTGCATGCAGAGCAGGGACCCGAAGCCTAGCGGTCTGAGTCCACACCCAGACCATGGTTCTAGCCCACCTTAATGGTTATCAGGGTACATGTGGGACTCAGTGGCTTCCCCAGACACATATACCGCCCCCCAGCTCTGAGTCTTACTTGCAATACTACCCACCACAAAGCAAGACTTCCCCTCTCTTGGAAGACTCAGACTGGCCCCCTAGAATGACTGATAATCAAAGAAGCAAAAAATGTCCCACACTTCAGGAGCCAAAATGAAATGCCACCATTGTGTTGTGAAACAGTCTCCTGGTTTTCTGAAATCCACAGAGACTGTTCAGATCATTTCCTACCTTCCGGTGAGTGTTAAGGACTTCAACCTCAGATGAGCTGGGAGACTTGGTGGCACTTTGCAAAGAAGGAACTAGAAAGGAAAACTGTTCTGTTTCTGGGAGTATACCTCATTCAGAGGGAAAGAAACTCTGGACTCTTAATTTAAATGTTTTCAAGGATTAGCCCTACACAGAATGCTTATAATCTCAGATATTGTCACAGAATACTGGGTCCTTTTCACTTATAAAAAGTGTCCCCAATGCAAACTGAAGGTGATAACTCCATGTGCCAACTTCAAATAAACCAAGGTATAAAGCAGCTCCAAAAGAACAATTCATTGAAAGGAAAGCCAAAAGGCAATTTACAAACATCACATGCATTTGTTTTATATGAACATCTCCAGCCACATACAGTATCCAAATGAAACTAAAAGGGAAGGAACTCACTGTACAGAAGACGAAACAATACCCTTTTTATTTTTAAAACTTTGGTGAAAATAGGTTTCCATACGACATCCCATTTAAAAAAAAAAATTAATGTAAACCAACCTGCCTGTGGGTTAGTCACACTATAGACTTCATCGTAGTGTGTACAGATGCCTACAGTATTTACAAATGTTATCTGTTAGGTAGTAAAGTTTTGTTGCAATTTTTCCAGCACGCATTCCACAGTAAAATAAAGAGGGGATACTGGTGTTCTTGTATAAAAATTCTTAACAGATGGATAAAGGCAATTTTCCTGAGAGAAGATTTGTTCTTGAAATATTTTTCTTTCACAATTGGAAATATAGAAATGGGATGCGGTTGTAAAAGAAGTATAAGAATGTCTAAGTTAACATTTTCTTCTTTTAAATTATTTAAGTACCATTAAGTTAAAATGTTTACATTCATTATAAAAAATGTTGTTAAATCTTATGCAAATGATTTAACACTGATTGCTGCAACGCAAATTGCACTTTTAAAAAAAAATTATTGTTTACATGGAAGAAAAACATCTTGTTTGCTACCCTGTTTACAAAACCCGACTGACTTCAGATCAGTCACACAATATGCACTTTGAGAAACGTCAGTCACAGTGTACGTTACAGTCATAATGCAGTCTTGCCAACTGAGTCACAGTCCTGACTCAGCCTCCAGAGGTGTGTACCAAATGGTCTTCTCCATGAAAGCAGGTGAAATTCAGGTGTGGAAAAGGTACAAAGAAATTTTGGAACAACCAAAACCGATCAGAAGAAGCACATGATTTGGGGCAATACACATAAAACCTTTTTTTTTTAAAAAAAAAAAAAAAAAATCTCTCTCAATATTCCTTAGCAGGCAAGGCCCTGGTCCTAGTCCCGCTTTCTGGAAGTGGCACGGCGGACATCAGATCCCCTGGCGGGCCCAGAGGCAGGTTGGCTGGCTGGAAAGGACCGTGGCCGGGGAGGAGGCGACATGCTGTGGGCTCCACTGGCCCTTCCCTGGAAGTTCTCCATCTCCTCTCTGGCTCTTCAGAGACAGGGGCAGGGTGAAGGCAGAGCAGGCCTCTCAGGAAATACATCTCTTTCAAAATAAAGGCACGGAAATCACGCATCAGAGGAATGTTCCGTCAGCATACTCGCCCTGGTGTGGCCGGCTTGACAAAAATCCCCGCAGGCCGCGCGCCCTCCTGCTCCCTGGCAGCAGGCTCAGGCCAGGGCAAGGGCGCACCAGGAATCCTGTCTCACCGAGGATGTGACTTCGGCCGGCGAGGCCAGGCTGACGCCTATGTACAACCCATCTTGACCTGAGTACTTGAGCTCGCTGTTCTCGGGGTTAGTGCTCTCTCCCGCACCAGACATCACTGAGGCGCCCGCCTGGCGGAAGAGAGAGACAGAGAGGGAAGAGAGAAGGGGAGAGACAGTTATCGATAAATTTGTCAGGCGGCACTCTCCTGCAAGGAAAACACCTGGGGACAAAGGCGGTGGGCAGCGGGGCCGGCCGTTCGGCGCAAGTGGCCTCACCCTTGAGAGCTCACGGCAGCAACCACCCAGCATGCTGCTCGGCTGGACAAAGGTAGGAAAGGGCAACTGCCGGAGGCCGTTTGTAAGACCGGCCGAACTCCCAGCTCTCTGACAGCGAAACAAACCACACCACCCAGGTAAACGGGTCTCAGGATGCCCACACAATCTCATCATTTCCAGAGAAAGCACAGGGCGCCACCGCCCCCCACCGCCCCCCCCACCCACACACACAGCAGAGCCACAACCTGAGCACTTATGCCGAAGTCTAGGATGGAAAGCTACACAGCTCAGCAAGACCTAAGAAATGAAATTTTTGAGCACCGACTTCGGGGAAAATTAACTCATGCGTACACAGGTTTTAGTATACCGCATTTATCTTTAATTCTTTGCAAGGAGAACGGGCCATTTTGAGAGCAGGCCACATTATAAAGAAAATGCTAACATCCAGTATCTGTCATGGTTGTGGCAACATTTGTTGAAGCAGAAGATCACTGTTCTCTTATTTCATTCCTTCCTTCCATCCAAATGAGAAAGGCCAAATAGAAAACACGATATAACTTAGTAGAATCAAACCAAAATAACTAAAATCATGTTTAGACTACAGTTTGAGGAAACAGTTGCCTTTGACTTAAAAAAATTAAAAAAAAAAAAAAATCTAGCCATGACCAGTATGATGCCCAGGCTGCTCGGTCCAGGCTGCTCGGTGTGGCTCTGAGGACGGGTCAGTGACGTGCACGACACCCAGAGACACAGTGGCCGTCCACACACAGTGCCCCCGGAGGTTAAAGAAGCTCCAACATGTCAAAAATAACACGTCTTCCTGGAGCATCTTTTACCAATCTGAGTTCGGGCACACGCCACCTCTGGTATCAGAACTCCACTCGTACATGTGCATCGGCCACAACTCCAACCTGCAGAACATTCCACCGTTCTCTCCAGCAACACGCGGTGCTGACTGCCAGGTACAGGAAACGCAGGGGTGTTTCCCTCAGGATTTATATGTATGTTGTGCTTGGTTAAGAAGTTACAGGATCTAGGGGTGCCTGGGTGGCTCAGCCGGTGAAGCGTCTGCCTTTGGCTCAGGTCATGATCTTGGGGTCCTGGGACTGGGCCCCGCATCAGGCTCCCTGCTCAGCGGGGTGTCTGCTTCTCCCTCTGCCTGCAGCTCCCCCTGCTTGTGCTCTCTGTCTCCCTCTCTGACAAACAAAAGCTTTTTAAAAATAATTAAAAGTTAAAAAAAAAAAATCTAGCCATGATTCCATACTTGAATCATGGTTTTTTCCTTCTAAAAAGCTCAGAGTCTCTTATTTCTTCCTAGGTTTCAGGGTTTCATCCCATAAATTACTGGCTATTTGCTTTTTGACACAAGTAGAACGTTTTGCGCTTTTCAAAAACATCCCTTTGTCTGTCTGAGCTGATGTGACATCTACTTCAGAGAAACATGGGGCACCAGACACAGGCTGAACTGAACGGAAGGCACGCTGAGCCCCCCTTGGCTCCACACAGGGGCCTGGAATCAATGTGGTCCTGCTCTCTCTGGAACAAAACATCTGCCTTTCTCTCTCATCCTCAAGATAACTGCATGAGGCTGGAAGGAGGGCTCTAGGAGGTCTGACTATGGGAATTCCTATCTGCCCATCCCAACTTCCCAATCCAGCCCCTCATCACAGGTAACCAATCCTTCTGTTTCCGGGTGAAAATGAGGGTATGTAAAAATCCAGGCACAACAGTACCACCACACTCCAACTTCTTTTGAAATTAACACGAGACTTAAACTGAGGGCTCGGGGTGCATAAAAAAGCAAATTTCATGAAGTCACTGAGATGCCTAAAACTTCAAAACAGATTTTGAAATGGCTGAGATAATCCTGCCAAACACACCAAAGTGATGATTTGGTTACCCATAAATATGGTAATTAACAATAGCCATTAATTCCAGAAACTCCACTGTGAGCAAACTCAGCATAGACCCAGATTTATCCCCCAAAGAAATAAACAAAAGGGTGATATTCAATTACAAAAGGACTCATTTGAGAAAGGAGCTACCATACTACTAATAAAAAGAGTGAGTGCAGGGCACCTGGGTGGCTCAGATGGTTAAGCGTCTGCCTTCGGCTCAGGTCATGATCCCGGGGTCCTGGGATCGAGTCCCGCATCGGGCTCCCTGCTGGGTGGGGAGCCTGCTTCTCCCTCTGCCTCTGCCTCTCTCTCTCTCTCTGACTCTCATGAATAAATAAATAAAACATTTAAAAAAAAAAGAGTGAGTGCAATTATAAATGACTTATGTCACATCCAATCTCATACTGATCTACCTAGTCCCAGAAAAAGCGCATGTGCATTTATCAAACTAAATCTGACTTCACCACAGCAAGTGTTAATTTTCTGAAACAAAAAGGGTACCTGAATTGGCCCAGGAAGCAGCCCACCTCACCTAGCCAGACATGCTCAGATAGCAGAGGGGTCGGTCACCACCTCAAGTCAGCAACAGGAAACATTAGCAAGGTGCTTATGAGAGCCAGGCACTGGGACCATGAGCCCCAAAGAGACAGTCACTCCCTGGATGAGCTCCTAGGCCACATACACACGTGGAAGTAACAATGATCAACTATCATGAATGATAAATGAGTGGCTGAGATATGGAGTGGAGCAACAGATCAAAAAAGGAATCAAGACGGAAAGGATTCCTGGGGGGATGGGCCGCAAGCAGACTTCCAAGCACTACTCTGGTTCAGCCACCTACTGAGTAAGGTCACCTCTCCAAGCCTCCTCCTGGGTAAACTCGCCTTCACGTCACCCATCAGGTAGGGTTTGATGATTCAGTGCTCATAAAGGATCAGCATGATGCTTCGCCACGGTAAAGATACTGGTGAGGAAAGGGTTTGCAGCATGGGAGGCATGTAGGACATACCAGAGGCCTTCTGAAACAGAAGGATAAGCAAAGGAGGCAAGGAGACAATGTGGGAGAGGCAAACTAGAAGGCCAGACTGAAAACTCTCTATGCCTCAGGTTCCTCACCTAGAAAAATGCAAATTTTTTTAAATGATTTTATTTATTTTAGGGAGAGAGAGAAAGAGAACAAACAGGGGGACGGGCAGAGGGAGAAGGACAAGTTGACTCTGCGCTGAGCACAGAGCCCAAAGCAAGGCTTGATCCCAGGACCCCCCCCAAGATCATGACCTGAGCCGAAATCCGGAGCCGACGCTTAACCGACTGAGCCACCCAGGCACCCCTAAAATTCATTAACATACATAAAGCATTTCCAACAGTATCTGACAACAGGAAGGACGATACCAGTATACACCACTATTAGTTATTTTATTATTCTTGTTAAGGAGCATAGACCTAATTTAATCTCCCCAATTCTGCCCTTCAACAGGTGAGTTACAACCCATCACTTAGTGGGAGAAGTGGAACTAAATTCAGAGCTAAGTGAAAACCATCTACCTCAGCAATGACCTTCTAATTGTTTCTGACAACTCTTCAGAACAAAAACAAAAAAACAAAACAAAACAAAAAAACCAAGGTGCTTCCTTAGCCCTTCAAAAGGTTCATGGGCCTTCTTCAAATAAACTACACTGAAGAAATCCTAGTACCTTGAACATTATTCTTAACCCTTGAGCAGTAACTCCAAAAGCCACCAACTCAACTACCTATTGTCTTCTTTGTTCAGTCAAAAATGTTGTTAAGCTATACGGCAGACCAAGACTCCTGCGCCAAAAGGCAGGCAAACCCCAAATTACATGAGTGACTCACCTCGGCTCATTTGAAATCAAAAGCAACATCTGACTTTCTGAGGAAAAGATGGAACAAGTGCTTATGCCAACGCTGTTAAGAACCTTGTTTGTAATTGGGGATACACTATTTAAACATGAAATACTGCAATGTACAGCTTTTTTGTGTATCAGTCATACCTGAATAAAAAATAAAAATGTTTATGTAATGATACATAATGAGATCATAGTGATGATATCTGATGAGACCGTGATAACCCCAGTCCCCTCATCCACGGGCGGCAGGGCTATATTCTGGTACACTCCGTAGAAGGCAATTAGCAAAGCCCATCAAGAACTTTATACACTACTTAGCTCTGTAATCTCACTTCTGGAAATGTATTTATAAGGAAAGAATTCAAAGGAAGGGAAAGGCTCCACAAGGGAAGACATCCATTTCAGGGTAACTTATAATAGGGGAAACCATGGAAATAATCTAATGCCTAATAATATGGGATGGTTTGGAAAAGCAAGGTACATCCGCTCAATGAACTATTATGCAATTATTAAAAATAGTAAGATCATGTAGCAAAGTGGAAAAAATCCTGTAACGCAACGTTAACTGAAAAACAGCAGGATATAAATTGTCATCATTACAATTTACACACGCAAAAGTATTTCAAGGGAACCCAGTAAGTAGTGTGTGGGGACAGGGGACCATCTATTAGTCATCAGTACCTTCCTTCGAATATTTTAATTGAATGGCGTAGTGCAGTCTAACTTTGGGGAAGGCAGAAAACATTAGCACCAGAAATATCACGCACAAGCACTTGAGGGGTAAGCCAGCCTGGAAAGAGTCATAAAGTAGCACGAAAAAATAGGGAGGAATCCGAGTGGAGGTACTAAGCTAGAGAAGGGAGGCCCAGAATGGGCACTCATGCCCCCCGGAAGTCACCTCCATCCATGCTATCTGCCACCGTCTGGAAGCTGGCTGATGTGAAACATGGTTCCACATACGTTAAAACAGCAAACACGCTACAATCGGGTGCATCCGTATCATCTGAGCTCTTGAAACCAGTATTCTAACTGTGTACGAAATCTAGAACTGGCACAACTCTCCTTAAGAAACCTGGCTTGTCACATC